TCATACGGTATAACGACTGTATACGAGGATGTATGATATAAGCACTCCTGATTAGCATCAATTGTAACGATGACGATGCAAATCGTGGTGGATTTGGAGTCATTAAATTGAATGGTAAGATCGGCAGTTTGTGGTACTATGATAGTCACAATTTTGAAATAATCATTCTTAGACAGATTTTAAAGATTAAAAGTGGGTAACATTGGAGAAAAAAAGTGGTTTTCAAAATTTAAACTTTTTTTTTGATCGTCAACTAGCCTTCTTTCATATCATAAGTTTCAGGATCATTACATCAATCAAAGGAAAAACAAAATTGACACCAACTAAAATCCAACAACTACGACTGTAAACCTTATGATCAGACTTAGAGACGATCACCCCTGAAAGAGCAACGCGAATCACTAACCATGTAGCGGGCTTGACACAGTCATCCATGTTCCCATAAATCCAAAACATACTCAATGACATAAAAAAGGCTGAATTACCAAACAAACAGACAAACCTAACAACATAGACGATAATAAGACGTAAAATGATAGAATAAAAATAACTAATAGGAAAACTTATACGGACTTTATAAAAATATATAATGTTTGGGATAAAAATGATTCTCCAAATTTTCATATTTTCCTATTAGTTATTTTACTATGGAGGATCAATTAGAGTGGTGCCAAGAACACGGTCTCCTCGTGAACCACCACCATGGGTTGTTTACTCTCTCGTTCTAAAATGGTTCTCCAAATTTTCATATTTTCATATTTGGTTGTCAAATGAGCTTTTCATTTCCTTTTAAAGTAATAAATTTATGATTTGCGTTATTTCTCTCCTCGATCATTTCCTTGGTGTTGGTCTAAATTGAAGACCGTGAGTAATTTGAATTCATCAACCCCACAATTAATAAAAATCTAATGTTACTACATTTTTTTATCTTACTCCCTTTGTTAAACTATTTCAAACCTTATTCCTTCATATTATAACGTCACTCGAAAATAAAAATATAGGAAATGAAAATGATAATCACATTGAGGGCAAATAAAATAAAACTTCTAAATTTAGTTTGATTTATTATTCTTTCTTTTTAAGAAAAAAGGGACAAATATGAAAATATTGATTTATCATTTCTCGTTTGTTTTAAACCGTTTTAATCTATTTAAGTTTAGCTTTATTGAAATTACTTTTCTGACTAATTCGACTGAGGTTACTGTACATAATGATTTTTTACTACTTTTCATATAATTTTTTATTTACTTCATTAATAAAATATAATTTAGATTAAATTCATCTATAAATAAATATATCCAACCAATTCAGTCATTTTTCACAGAATTTTATCAATTTCAAAAGAACCAAGCGATTTAAGCAATTTCGCTGTTACAAAACTAACTCTAAATATCAAAATTATAATATGAAAGTAACAATAGATTAGTGGCTAATAAAAAGGAATTTTTGAAAAAAGGACTTTTTAAAAGAACAAAAATGATAATCTTAAAAAATCACATTTCATTAAAAATCAACATGTTGAAATAATATCATTATAATATGTAAGTGACTCAATAATATAAATATACTTGAATTTGGTTATTATTGTGGACTTTCAATTCTGTAGATACAAAAGAGATAGATTTACAAAGAGTTTCATATGATTCCTAATGTAGCAACTGACTAAGATTCATTTACCTTTTTTTACGCAACACAACCTCACATTTTCAATTTATTCACACTTTCTTAAACTCCAATACAAGTCAAATCGGGAAGAATTCAATGAGACGGAGGGATTATTATTATTATTATTATTATTATTATTACTATTATTATTATTATGATTACTATTATTATTACTATTATTATTATTATTATCATCATCATCATCATCATCATCATCATTATTATTTTTATTATTATTATTAATATTATTATTATTATTACTACTACTACCACTACTACTCCGTATTATTATTATTACTAGTTTCCCCACCCGTGCGTTGCACGGGACTAAAGTAGTTACATACAAATTTAGATAAATTAAGTAAGAAGTAAAAAAAAAGTTGATAGTGAATCAACTAATTGAAAACATAAGTTTAAAAAAATAAATATTAATCTCGGTATCGCAAATAGGTGTTTATGTTTGTCCAGGGAATTGTCAAAAAAATTACTCCCTCCGTCCCTAAATAAAAGCATCTGTTTCCTTTTCTGGCCGTCCCTAAATAAAAGTTCCCTTTCCTTTTTTGGCAAATAGAACAGTGCAAAACAGTGCAAAACAGTGCCAAACAGTGCCAAACAGTGTCCAAACAGTGTCAAACAGTACCAACCAAACCCACTTTCTTAAGATGTGTGTAAAATGAATGGATACTTTTATATAGGGACGGAGGGAGTATAAATTATTATAAACTTCTTTGTAAACAACGTTCAATGTAGACTTTGTTGGTTGTCCGTCTTCGTCACATATGACAAACTTCAACCCCGATGGACTTGTTACTCTCGAGACCGCCACGTACAACTGTCCATGCGTAAAAACAGGCCGCCGGAGGAAGATGCCTACCTCTTCCAGTGATTGTCCTTGACTCTTATTAATGGTCATTGCATAGCTAACCATTAACGGAAATTGTCTGCGCTGAAAAGTGAAAGGGAGTCTAATGTCTGATGGTGTTAAAGTAAGTCGAGGAATGAGAAACTTTTCACCAGCATTTTCTCCGTGCATCATCTGAGCCTCGATAATATGATCTCCTAGTTTAGTAACCAAAAGTCGTGTGCCATTAATTGCACAACCCAGATGCATGATCTATATTCCTCATAAGCATCACAAGAACCCCCACCTTTAGCTTTAGCTCATGACTCGGCAAACCTGAACATTTAATGCTGTTAAGAAATTCAGGAGAATGTATCTCATTTAAGAGATCACCATCTGAGCTAGGTGAAGAAGCTAAATCTGAGCTTAGATAAGTTTTTAACTCCGAATCTATCTGACTCAACATGTAATCATTGATTTTATCAACTTCATCTATGGTCGGAGCAAGAAAAAAGAGAGAATAGATAACCTGCATTTAACCTGCATCAGCCTTGCTGGCTTTCTATACTCGGGGTGTCTGCCTCTTTCTTCTATATAAATGATGATTAACAAACAAAAATAGTATGCACATCTAATACATTAAAGCACATCTAATACATTAAAGCAAATGTCTTTGTTCTAGGATACAAAAACCAAAACTAAAGTTCTCTTTTTGCTAAGAATCTTTCAAATTTAAGACTACCCACATTAGAAATTAAGACTTTACTTTCCACAAAAGTTCTCTCTTTGTCAAGAATGAGTCAAACCAATCACATACTATTATATTAACACGGGAAGACAAAGCATTCGGAAATAATAATAGTAATTACTCAAAAGATTCACTGTACTTTTAGTTTATGTTAACACTTACAACCTTTTTTAGTAGTCTTAACACTCAAACCTTGATTTTATTTATTGTGTTATAGTCGCTACAATTTTACTTTTTTTATCAATTTTAACTATGTTCTTCTAAGTTTATGCTAGTTAAAAGGGATAACCTATTTTTTGTAACTAAAATCTCATATGAAACAACACTTTCTCATTGCCGTTTATGTGTTCAAAGTAAGTGAGAAAGAAAAAAAACCAGTTATCAGTCCATCTTCATTTCATCACTGCTCTAAAAATGTCATCTACGAAAGACATGAAAGTAAGGAGGGAAATGCATTTGTATATCAAATACCATTGTTCTCTGGCTTGAAATTGAAAAAAAAAATTATGTTATGGTTCAATTTCCTGAAATAAATTTCATTTTTTAAAAACAAAAGATGTTGCAGGCCATTATCCTAGCTAACTGACAATTGGAAATCAATATTTTATGTTTTGTGTTTCTAGAGTCTAGACAACATAATATTTTAATCAATCTATCCCAGCTAATTGACAATTGGAAACCCCTTTAATTATTCTCTAAATTCATAATTGCCATTATCCCATGTAAAGTTAGAGTTGTTGTTTGTATTAAAGATGATATTAAACTCTATGATGTATATAATATCAGTCAAAATTAATACATATAGGGAACCTTGCCTTGAAGAGTACGGTAGTAAAATCATACCTCGATGAATTCAAGCGGCAGAGTGAGTGAATTCATCTTCTACTGCCAATGAAAATTTAAAATCTAATTTCAATTAAGAAGGAAAAAATTGATATTAGAGGAAAATTGAAGAGCACTCTATGAAAATCATACCTCACTGAATTCAAACGGTGGAGTCAGTGAATTCATCTTCAACTGCGGCTCAGAGAATCAGAGGAAAGGAAGGAGAAGAGGAGAAGGTAAGCGTAGGCGAGAAATGGTGGAGTGAAGCGATCGGGAAGGAGGGCGAGAAATAGTAACCGTAGAATCCGGTGAAGGAAAGAGAGGAAAAGCTGGTAAAAGTAGAATACTGGCGAGAAATGGAGGGAGAGGAGAAGACGAGAAGGTAAGCTTAGGCCAGAAATGGTAAACGCCGAAGAAGAGAAGGCAAAGGCGAGAAATGGTCAGCGCGGAAGAAGATGAGAGGGAAGGTAAAGACGGAAATTACATTTCAGGGCACACGCCTAGGCGAGAGATTTTTCTCGTATGCCTTTAAGTATATAAAGATTATTATTATTATTATTATTATTATTATTATTATTATTATTATTATTATTATTATTATTATTATTATTATTATTATTATTATTATTATTACGTGAAGTATTTGATTATGGCCCATGTACTTCTCTCCGTCACTCTTTTCCTAATGAACTCTATCTATCAAAGTAATTAAACTAATAAAAAATCATGAAAGAGAACAAATCTCTCGTTTTCGTTTCCCGTCACCCATATCAATCAAGTTCGTGTGGAAAGTAGCCCACAAGCAACGGCATCTGCCAATCATAAAAATCGACAAATAAAAAGGTGAAGAAAATAAACAGTAATCCTACGGCCTGTATTTATATGCAATACCCTTCTTCACATTCATTCTCATCTCTCAGCCGTCAACCCCTTTCCTCTGCCGCCCCAAGCCATCAGATAGAAGCTAAGCTCTTCGATTCCCCCACTTTTACCTTTTCTTTTTCTTCTGATTCCATTCATCTGCATCAAGAAATATTATGGTTTAATTTCGTTCGATCCTTTAGATTTTACTTTTCTTTTTTCATTTAACGGATTTTCTTAGTTCTGTAAAACCATCTTCTTTCCGAGAATCGATTATTTTTAAATGTAAGAAACAAGATCAACCGAAATTATTGATTTAGTCTGATTACACAATCAAGAATCTCTAAGAAGGTTCACCAAAGAAATCCAAGAAAAAAGTTGGGTTTCATCAAGAACCGATCTTTTTAAACAGATTTGATATGAGCAGCGCATATATCTATATATTTTCCCCTACATTCAATAAAAAGTAGGGTTTTGTCTTACATACGTAATACGATAGTATTTGAGATGGCCTTCAAGAATCGGATTCTTGATTATGTTTTTATATTTACCATTTTCTCTCTTAAATCCCCATATTTGTTCCAAATGATGAATGTCCGGGGATACAAATATATTTACTCACATATTTACCACTTTCTCTCTTAAATCCCCATATTTTGTATAGTGTCTGGGGACACTATACAAGATTGGATCGATACAAAACACTACTTTCGTCCCAAATTGATTTGCAAATTTGATTTTTCTTGGTCAAATAGTTTCATTTTATTGCTTAATTCGAATGTCATTTTTTAATTATATTCTAATTTTGATTTTGCAACTTTGAAGAGTTTTTTATGTAGTTTCTAAATATATAAATTTTAATTATTAAAAATTGAATTAATTATCGATAGGAAACATTCACTTGTATTGTTGGTTGACAAAAAAATGTTGACTTTGTAAACAATTTATGACGTAGAGAAATATTTTTGAAAAGATTTACACAATTTTTTTGAGTGGGTCAGGTCCTAGGTTGCCCTCTAGATCCGCCCATATCTGTATATTCACATGCTTACTCTATGTCTGCTTGAGAAATGAGGAATTTTTAGTTTTACGTTTATCTTATGCACTTTCATGAAATTTCGGGTACATCAATAATCACTTTTTTAACATTTTTTGTTAATCTTAGGGTTGTTCAATCTCAAAATCAACGCACCACTTTCATTCTCATTTCAGATCGTTCTCATTTGATCCAATTCTATATATATGACGTCTGGCGTGTGCATGGAAATCAATGGGGGGAGCAATGAAGGCAGACAGGCGTTGTTTGCAGGTGTAGCATCTTCAAGATTCACATGCAAAGGGCAGTCATGAGTTGGTGTAAGTTTTGGATGGATGACTTTCTTTGAAAGTGAGAATCTTGATGATGCTGCATCAGCAATGAACGCCTATATCAATTATCAGACTCCTCCGATCTCCGGCTCGACGGCTTCTCATCCGATCACCTTACGTTATTTCTCGATACCTTAACTATTAGTAAGTTACACTTTGATACCTTAACTCTTAAATGAATCAAAATAGTACCTTAACTATATATAAATGTTTCGAATTGAGATTTTATTCAAATTTCTGACAAAAAAAAGCATTCATGACGATCAAGATTTCATGTGTAGAGTCACTCTATGGTGATCATATGGACAAAAAAGGTGAAATAGACTTTATGCATAGAATTCTTGGCGCCACATATGATTTTTTGGTCAGATGTTTGAATAAAATCTCAATTCAAAACATTTATGTATAATTAAGGTACCGTTTTAATTCATTTAAGAGTTAAGATACCAAAATGCAACATTACCAATAGTTAAGGTATCATTTATACATTTTAACCTTATTTCTCATATATTCTCAGAATATACCTTTATGTCTTTATGAATTGGGCCACCGAAATCTAGTGAGAAGATATTATTTATCCATCTTACGGTATCATTATTGTCTTATGTCCTTTTCGGGTGGGTGTAACGGTAAGTAAGTTGGATTTGCTGTTGTTGAACTCTTTATTAACATTCTTTACTCGTTTCAAAATCTTTCACGGAATTTTGTCCACGAAGGAAAAGTTTAGAAAAACAATCGTAGAATTTGACTTTGCACTCATTTGTTTGCACCCCATTTGTTACATATTTATTTTTAAATAGAATTTAATACATCAAATTCCCTCATATTATATTAATTGTCAAATAAATGAAAAGTGATTAGTGCATTTGCATAAGTTCAAGATTTTGACAAATTACTAGCATATTCAATCATAATATTAATACAAGTGATTTCTGATTTGTTAAATTTGTTGTTGAAGGGATTTTGTGCATGAATAATTATAACACAAATGGTTTGATACATTAAACCCTTTGAACTAAGTGTGTGCATTTTTTTTTGAAAATGAGCTCAATCTGGTAAGTAGGATGTTGTATTTTTTTAGTATTTTTTTAGTAAACCCTTTGAACCCTTTGCCTCTTCAGATTCTCTTTATAGTATTTTTTTTAAAACCCTATATAGTATTGTCTTCTTTCCAAAAATGTTTACCATATTCACTTTTTTTTGTTAATGATAGCAAACTTTGGACAATAATTTTAATTATTATATTTATATATACTTTATATATTTATACTTTTAAGAATATTTTTTGAATAATGAATATTTTGATATAATTTTCATATTTAAAATAATTTTGTATTAAAAATATCATTTACCAAAGTAGATTATCATTCGCTAAGAAAAATGAACCCAGTGAACTTTTTCGGGATAGAGTATATAATTATAGGTGGTATATATCTCCACAACTGAGATGCAAAGTAAAACCTCTTTTACACGTTTTTGTGATTTAATTTGAATAATAATATTTGTGGGCCTTGTGACTGACTCATATTCGACTCATTACGTACAAAATGTGTTTATCAAAGTGAACGCAAATGTCATTTTTCCATTATTAGAATAATTTTTAATTTAATGTTGGTGAAATTGCCTTTATGCTATTTTTGTTTGGTTCACTTTTTTTCTACGAAGTACTCCGTATTTAAATATATTGCTTTTGACAACTGGCTTGATGAAAAGTGGTGGAAAAGACAGACTGCATAGATCCATGGAACTGTGATTATTCTTCTGCGAACTTCAAGTTCTGACCAATAAAGATGATGATGATGTTATGTTATACACATCAGGTACATCACTACCTGTGCCCAGGTGTGTCTCCTTCACATGGACCTGTTCTCTTAACTTATTATTGGGTATTTATATTCTGAATGATGTACTCCCAATTAAAGGTTCCCATTGTATAAATGGAATGGTTATTTAGAAAATAATTAAAGTAAAATAATTCTCGTATATTTTAAGAAATAATTTTGTTGAGTATACAATAAAATAGGGACGTCATTGATGATAATTGTGATGTTATATTAATAGAAATAATTACATAAATATGACCAAAATAAAGATGATTTACAAAAATATGACTAATGACTAGAGTAGTAATGAAATCATAGTAATTCATGTTCAAGTTTTGAACTTAAGTTACCACAACACCACATTATGTAAATATGTTTTATTTTAGTAATATTCTTGTAAAAAGCCCATATTAATATTTGATAACAAAAATGTTATTACCTTCGTCCCAAAAAATACTTCCCGGTTTGACTTGACACATTTATTAAGAAAGTGAAAATAAAGTAGAAATGTATGGTTGTGGTTGAGTCAAAAGGGGAAATGAGAAAAAAATTAGGACACTCCAAAATAGTAAGTGGGAAGAATTTTTTGGGATGGATGGAATATTTTAGAGTATTAATTGTTTTCTAAAATAGAAATGGAAACCTTTATATGTGACGTTTAAAATAGAAAACTTGGAACCTTAAAATGCGACTGAGAGAGTACTAAGACAAAGTTTTTGCGTGTATCATTCAAAAACGTTTTTTAGTTTACAAAGACAAAGTTATTTGTATATAAACAACTTCTAGCTTATACGAAGTATATAGATGAATTGTCTATATAGAGAAAATTTTGTTTACGTGGACACAAAACATGAACGAATGATGTATACAAAAAATTGTACACCAAACATTTGTGAGTTTTTTTTACTTTCCCTAATATGAGGGGGTAATAGAATATTAGAGGCAACCGAATATTAGAGCCCATTTAGGAACTCATATTTTCAGCCTCGGTTACAATTGTTTACCTTACACTCAATTTTTATTACGCGCACTGAGATGTATAATAATTAAAATAAGTAAGATTAAAGTTATTTTTCTGCCTCATGTTAATCTAAACAACCATTTTAGCTACTTTCATATAATTTTTCTTAATTTTATTAATAAAATATAGCTTGAATACAATATTTTACAATACGTTGATTCGGCCACTTTAGTTCAAATTTCATCAGTTTTAGCCAATTAAGTATTACTCCCTCCATCCCGAAATTATCTTCATTCTTTCTTTTTCAGTCTGTCCCAAATTTATCTCCTCTTTCCTTTTTTAATAAAGAATATGTGGTTCACAACCATTCTTACACACCTTTCTCTCATCTGCACAACTCTCCACCATACAAATCCCAGTATCTTAATTCTCGTGTCCAGTCAAAACCGGAGTTAATTATGGGACAGAGGAAGTATCAAACAGGTCGTTAATAAACATAGGGTGAGTGTATAAGCCCTTTATTACAAGAATTATGTCTATACAAACATTATCTAAACAAATTACGTTTTAGACAAGTTATGTGTATACATAAACAAAATAAAAGAAAATTTCCGATAGTAAGTAAAAAATTCAGACAATGAAATTGAGAAGTACATTATCGACCTTTAAAATATCGTGGCATTGCATGAATAAATATCTAAATTAAATTAAATACGTATATAGTACTCCCTCCGTCCCGCTAACAATAGGACAAGAGGGAGTGACACGCAAATTAATAAAAAGTGGTTTATGTGGTTGATATTGAATTGTTAAAGTAAGAATAAAGTAAAAATGATTTAGAGTCATACAAACTTTACCAAATTTGATATGAGACAATCTTAGTGGGACAGAAAAAGGCGGCCGGCTGCTACGCATTCCACATGCGTTCAGATAACGCCATGGTGACGTCACCACGCACCCAGGACGCTCGAACGGATGGATTTGAAAAAAAACTTTTTGACATTGTTTGAACGGGGGAAATGATCCAATGGCTGAAATTGAAATCCAATGATTGAAATAATTTATTTTATTTTCCATTATTTTTAACGGAAATTTCCCTAAATAGGAGTAATTGAGGTTTGAAATTCCAAAATAGGATTAATATGTTTTTCTTCCCGAAATAGGAGTTGTTACTACCATGTATGAAAAATATTGTCATGATTAAAAAATATTGTCATTAATTATAATAAATACAGTCATGTTAAATGCATTGTACTCCAACTACTTGGCAGTCACGCCTACAAGATGACAGTAAATACTGTCATGTTAGTTCTATTCGAGAATAAAAACATAGTAGTCTTACTTTAGAAATCCCAAATCTATTTACTCATATTTTGGGAAATCTCCCTATTTTTAATTGATATTTTGTCTAAATATCCTGTATAAACACCTCATTCTTTCCTATTTTAATCACAACTATCCCATCTATCTCATTCTTCATGATATTTTATTTACTGTCTATATCTGTTATATCTTCCTCAAGTAGGGGTGCTAAATGGAGTGTTAAATTCCATGTATTGTTATTTTAATTTATTCCATGTGCTAGTATGTTAATTCTGTGTTGTTATTTTAATTATGTGTTGTTATTTTATTGTTCACGTTTATTTTTATTTAAATTCCAATTATTTTAGACACACAAATTAAGAAGAGAATACAATGCTCCAATGCGTTTGAACGTAGTTCATCGAAAAACGTAAAAAACAATTAATGATTGTTTTACATCGAAATGTGTATTTTTTATTTCATAATTATTCATATAAGAATTATAAGGAAAACATCACTTATAATAATTTAATTAATGTTTTACTAAATTGACATGTAAAAAAATATGCTGATTATATTTTATCGACGGTGCTGAATGCAGGGAAATATGAGTCAAAACACTGTTGCGGGCGTGTGACCATGCCACGGAGGTTTGGCAGGCGGCTGGTTTGGGGCGCAAGGTGCGCACAAATACAGGAGAAGAATGGGTTCAGGCATACCTAGAGCGATTAACTAAGGAGGACAGGAGTAAATTTAAAATGCTGGCAAGGAGTATTTGGAAGCGAAGAAATAATTGGGTGTGGAAGGAGGAGTGGCAGGGGAAAGCAAGGTACTTAATTGTGCGGTCAACATGCTGACCGCATGGAGTGGTGCAGGAGACGGGTCTAAAGCCCCGTAGGCCTACCCGAGAGGAGGATACTCGGTGGGAGTGCCCAGGGATCGGTGATTAAAGTAAATGTGGATGCAACTGTTAACTCAAGTGGCGGGATTAGAGCTTTGGATCGGTGATTATTTATTTCCTAGCAACCACAATACTGTTATGCAACCACAATAAGTAAGTTTAAGCTATGTTTGGCAAGCATAAGTCTATGCCTTCTAGTTTTTGTACTGTTCAAAAAGTCTCTAAAAGCTTCTAGTTATATGTTTGGCATGACTACAAGGGGTAGCATCTGAAAAAATCTCGTGACTTTTAGAGTTTTAGTACTCCCTCCGTCCCAATTTACTTAGCCAAACTTGACTTTTCAAGTCAACAGCGTTTAACTTTGACTGATTATATGTTTATATAGAGAAAGTATTGATAATATGAAAATGACATGAAAATGATCTTTGTTAAAAACACTATTATAAAAGTATAAAATTATCAAACTTTGCATAAATATATTAGCTTAAATAATTGGTCAAAGTTAGAAGCCGTTGACTTGAAAAGTCAACTTTGGCTAAATAAATTGGGACGGAGGTAGTATTAATTAGTCCTAACAGCTTGTATACCAAACCGAACTAAATCACACAGTTAGCTTTTTACCAAACAGCTACAACATTTTCTTTTTAAGATCTTTTCAGTCATTAAAAACTAACCGTTATTAAAAAGCTCACAAAATTATTTTTGATGAAGTTCAAGTTTAATATAGTACAGCTGATTCCATAATTATCTATACTTCCTTAACTCATTTCATTATTCGATGGCCTCAAATATTCTTCATACTTAAAGAAGACTTTCTATTTATAGAAGACTACTTAACATGAAATCTATAGCTTTTTATATGTCATGTGCTTTTCAAAATTACACATTTTTATCAATATCAATAAGATATAAGCAATACAATTTTGTAAACTTAAAACTAGAAATAAGTGAAAAAATATGAAATATAAATATAATTTTCTTCTTAATTTTTACTAATTCATCCTTTGAAGGAAAGCGGTCGTCTCCCTCTCTCGTAGGGTTTGCTATTTCCGCCGCCTAACTTCGGTATAGGTTGGTGCGGATTTTGTTGCTTGGAATTTGATTCTCTTTAGTGATTTGATTGTTTCTACGATGTGGCTGTCTGTCCTTGGAGTCGGATTTACATCGGCGGGAGAGCCTGGTTTGAGTTGGCGGTTTAGGCGTGGGATACACTTGCCGAGGCTTATCTGCTCTGCGGCTTGGCCAGTGGGTCTGCTATCGGTGGCTAGATCGGCGACAAAGATCGGGTTACCAGGTGATGGCACAGGGTCGGCGGCAGTGGGACAGTTCTGGCGAGGATGGGAGACCCAAATCCGTGTAGACCTAGTCCATGCCAGATGCAATTCCGACGCTTGGTTTATTGAGAAGAGCTGTATGGATGAGACTTTTGTTCCTCAATATTGGATGCCCATGCGATTCTTGATTGGTGTAGGGATATATTGCAGGCGCAGGAAGGAAACATTTTTGAAGGCTACCAAGCCTTGTGGACAGAGGACTTCTCAACTAGGAATGACGGAGGTGGGAGAACACATGCAGTACGAGGATATCGGAGGGGACAACATGGCACTGGGTTATCAAAAAATGGAGAGGGGGCGGGTCATGGTTATCAGACCCCGTGATAGCTAGCTCTAAAGATAGTCCAGGTCAGGGAAGGACAGGAGAAGATCTTCGGGATACAGAGGGTGCAACCGAATTTCCAGTACTATGTTTTCTTTACTGTTGTTTGCTTTGGTAATACTATTTTTGTTGTCGTCGTTTATTTTTATTTCTGCCAGACTCTTGCATTAGGTTGGGGCAATGAGGGGTCTATTCTAATCACGTTAGGCTCATTTAGATCCATTATAGGATCAACGAGTCATATTGCTTTTTCTAGGGTGATTGGCTCTAAGTCTGGTTTGAGGGTCGGTGGTTGGAAGTGGTCCTTTTATCTTCTTGTTCCCTTGCTCAATGCTTTGATATTAATTTAAGCCGCCTTGGTCCAAAAAAAAAAAATCATCCTTTGAAGGTGTAATTGTGAGAAAAATTGAAGTTTGAGTCTATTTTTAATAAAAGTGAAGTATGAGATAGATTTGTGAATTTCATGATAGTTGGGGTTACATTTAGCTAATAATTAGGGGTGGGATAAACCGAACCGAAACCCGGAAACCGGCCCTGGCCTGACCCAAATTATGATATCGGTCCGGGGTTTTTCTTTTTGACCGGCCCGAATAAAAAATATCCGGACCAAACCCGAAATTTCGGTCTCATTAACGGGCTCTAAAATCTATAACCCGGCCCGGACCGAATAAAAATCCGAAACAATTAGATTTAATATAAAATCAATAAAATATACCAATATAATTTATATATTAATTCCTAATATATGATTATAATCATGATGGACGAAAAAATGACTTAATAACTATTAGTGACTACAAATATGTTCAATTTATTTACTGTAATGACCATGAAAACATATTTATAGTAACGTAGTCACATTTTGATCCATAAAGTTTATTTCATAACATTTTTAGAACACTTATATTATTTATTTTTATGCATCTTAAACAAAATATTATGATAATTGTCTTCTTTGGATTTGAATTCTTGGTGATTTTGGAGACTAATATTTGTGCTTTTTATTAATTTTATTTGCGGTTTGTACTTTTTTATTAATTTTATTTGAAAATAGATTTTAAAATATAAAAGAAATATGAGTGATTTCAGATTCGGGCTTGAACCGGCCCAACCCGAACCTGGACCGAACCCGGACTACAAAAAACCTGACTCGGACCTAATATAGTGAGCTTTGTTTCGGTCCCTAATTTTCATAACCCGATACCTTACGGGTAACTTCTGGGTTTAGCAAAAACACGAACCGGACCGGACCGATCCCATCCCTACTAATAATCCATAAAACATCTATGGACAAAATTGTGACTATAAGTTATTATGCATAAGTTTATAGTTGCTATGATTAACATTTGAATACAATTATAATCACTAAAGTTACAAGTCACATTTTTGTACACTATTTTTATTGTGGTTGTTGGGATATTGACCCGGAGGCCCAATACCCGGATTAAAAAGGCCCAGGATATCCAACCCAAACAACGAGTCCACTACCCTATGATGAGTAGGCCCGGTGAAGAATCCATACCGAACGAAGTTCGGTCCAAGTAGAGGCCGGCCCAGAAAGCAGAAATACCGAACGGAGTTCGGATCATACATCATACTTGGGCCAATTTGACAGCGTCTTCCGCATGGTCCAGCATCCCGTTCGAGCAACGGACAACCAGCAAGTGGCCAGGTGCATTTAATGCCAGATTTGTGACATCAGCAAGTGGAAGCATGGGTGATCAAGTCGGTGGAACAACGGTCAATCAGCATAGAGCAACCCATGCTCTCCATTAGTATAAATAGAAAGTTTAATATCATTGTAAGGGTTAGCATTTTGATACTCAAGCTCTAGAATAGCATTCGTTGTAATCAAATAGGTTAATTAATACAAGTGGGCTTTTGAGCATTCGTTGATTCATCTTTTATATTTTGTTATACACTTTGATTCTGATCCATTCCTGATATATCCAAAGTTCGTGTTGGGCTTTCGGATCTGCGGGACTTAACCTCAACATTGGTGCCGTCTATGGGAAACATTCAAAAAGTTTCACATCAATTATCCAAAACAACTATTTTTAAAAATGGTCAGAATCAGTTCTTATCACACAAATGATGGTTCGCGCCGTCACGAAAGGAGTCAAACTCCGAGAAACCAAACCCCTCAGGGACAATCCAGCCGAGGATCATATCCTCATTATGGTGGGGACTTTGTCATTCCTGAAGCCCTAAGGAGGAATCCTCAGGCCATGCGAGATATGGCCCAGGTCATGCAGCACATGGCAAACGAGGAAGAAGGAGGATCCAATTTCACAGGGGAGACTCCCCACACAGAAACAACCACGGCATCATCCCACTCACGGGCTCATCGGGATAATCGACGTGGCGCTCAAACAACAGGGCATCGTATTCCCAGTGTCTGGACCCCGATCGGATCACAAGCCAGGGGATCTACTCCTATTGGCCGTCATTTCCAGCACGATGAACGGAATTATACTAGGGCCACGCAGAGGCACTGGAATCGGGAGTATGCAGATTTGAGGACTCCATCACCGCCCCCTTTGACGGCCCAGGAGGAAGAAATGACCGAAATGAGGAGGCAGATGAATGAAATGAGAGATCGGATGAATAGGGCGCCCGTACAACCTGCTCCGATCCAGCTCGGGATCACTTCCCCATTCACCCGGGAAATTATGTATGCGGATATCCAGGGGGTGCCAAACCACCGACCGGTCAGATATATGATGGGGTGGGAGATCCCCAGGTCCATTTAAGGAGTTATCAAGGACTCATGCTACTAGGAGCGCCCGAGGCTGCCATCTGCCGATTGTTCTTCAGTATGCTCAGAGGACCCGCTCAAGAATGGTTCAGGACCCTGCAACCTGGGTCGATCGGCAGCTTTGCCGAACTATCAACGTTGTTCTTGGTCCAATTTGCCTCCAGTGCCAACTTAAAGCGGTATTTCAGCTACCTGACTAGCGTAAAGCAGAACTCCAAGGAGACCCTCAATCAATTCTATAAAAGATGGAGGGACGAAGCTCTGACGGTCGGAAACATGACGGATGACACCGTCATCACCCTATTCACTAACGCTCTCCGAACGGGAGAATTATACAAGGATTTGAAGAAGAATCCGGGTACGGCGTATGCCGAGGTGTTAGACAGAGACCGCAAGCATTCTGCCCTGGAGGAAGAGATTATGATCAGGGACAAGGTCGCTGCGCCTTCCGCCCCAATCAAGATGGCCGATCGGCTGGGTCCTACCCCAGCGGCCGCTCTCCCTCCTAAGCAAGGGTGATTTACTCCCCTGGTCCTGTCCGTGGCAACCATTTATCAGAACGAGAAGGACAACATTCCCCTTCCGATTGATTCTTCAAATTATATGGGAGCAGATGAATCTACTTTTTGTAAATATCATAACAGGAAAGGTCACGCCACCAATGCTTGTAGGGCACTACAAACGGCCATTGAGGACTTGATCCGGCGGGGTCATCTGGGCAAGTACGTAAGTAAAGACCCGAATGCGGTAGGCACTTTAAAGCCGGTCAGGAGACCCAACAGCTGGCGACGGGATGCCCAACGTGATGCCCAGCCCCAGAATGACGTATATATTCCTCCCAGAGATGAACCAGAGGGCTCGGGAGGTCCCGGAAAGAAACCTCGAATGGAGGTCAAAGTTATATTTGGGGGCAGGGAAACAGGGGATTCGAACGCCGAACGGAAAAGGTTCGAGCGAAGTCTTTATGTAGGATCCATCTCCACTCCCCCAGAAGAAAGGAAGGACGGACCCAATCACATTTGGGCCGGCTGATTTACCTAACTCGCCAAGTCCGCACAGGGATGAATTGGTGGTGAGCATGTGGATTGACAATGCTTTGATTTGCCGGGTACTGATCGTTACGGGGAGCAGTGTGAACGTATTGTATTTACAATCGTTCGAGAAAATGGGCCTACAGAGAAGTCAACTGACCCACCTAAGAACCCTACTGGCAAGCTTCACCGGTAACTGTATTGAGGCTGAGGGGACCGTTCAATTGTTAGTTGAAATTGGGGACGAAACGCACAAGGCATCAGTCCGAATGACGTTCGTGGTGGTGGACATAAAATGTGCCCATAACGCCATCTTGGGCAGACCGGGATTGGAAGATCTGGAGGCAATAGCCTCTGTCCGCCACTCGTGCATCAAATTCCCCACGGACACTGGGGTTGGGGTGGCCAGAACTGATCCAGCGACAGCCCGAACGTGCTACCGAGAGGCCCTGAAGAAGATGAATACCTGTGGAATGCGGGTTAACAGTATTGAGGTGGAGACCCGCCGAACGGAGTTCGAGGCACATCCAGAACCTGCCACTCTCCTCGAGCAAATTGACCTGGACTCTCCCCAAACCGAAAGGTAGCTATCGGGGTGGATCTGGAGGCTGATGTTCGGGATGGCGTGATTGCCGTCCTAAAAACCTTTCAGGTATTATTCGCCCGAGGGCCGGAAGATATGCCGGGCATTGACCCAGAGATAATCTGTCACAAGCTTGTCGTTCGGCCTGACGCAAAACCGGTCCAACAAAAGAAACGATACCAAGCGACCGAACGACGGGATTTCACAAAGCAGGAAGTGGCCACCTTGCTGAGAATAAAACACATCCGTCCGGTAATCCATGTCGAATGGCTATCCCATGTGGTCCTAGCCCCAAAACAATCGACTTGGAGGATGTGCGTGGATTACTCGGATCTGAGTAAAGCTTGTCCCATGGACCCTTATCCGATGCCGAGGATCGATCTGTTAGTGGATGAAACGGCCAGGTGTGAATTGTTGAGCTTCATGGATGCATTCCGGGGATATCATCAGATTTTCATGCACCCAGACGATGCACAGAAAACAACGTTCGTTACTTCGGATGGTGTGTTTTGCTATATTGTCATGCCATTCGGGTTAAGGAACGCAATGACTACTTTTCAAAGGATGATTGGGATGCTCTTCAAAGAGGTGTTGGGAGTCACAATGGAGGATTATGTTGATGATATCCTGATAAAGAGCCGGAAGAAGGAGAATCATATCCTGGACATAGAAAAGGTGTTCGGGATAATGCAGAAAGCAAACATGAGGCTGAATCCCAAAAAATGTGCCTTTGCTGTGAGAGGGGGCAAGTTTTTGGGATACATGATGAGCGAGAAGGGGATTGAGCCTAATCCTGAGAAGGTAAAGGCAATTGTGGATATGGAAGCTCCTAGAAACCTCAAGGAGGTGCAGAGATTGACCGGTCGGTTAGCAGCTCTGAGCAGATTCCTATCCAAGCTAGCCGATCGAGCTATTCCATTCTTCCAGATCATGAAAAAAGCCAACCCTTTTGAATGGACCGCCGAATGTCAAACGGCCTTTGAAGATTTCAAGGCATACCTATCTTCTCCCCTGGTCTTGACAAAACCCGATTTAAGGGAACACCTGTATATGTACCTTGCTGTAACTGACCTGGCCATGAGCACGGTATTATTGAAAGAAGAGGATGGCATCCAGCGGCCGATCTATTTTGTGAGCAAGGCTTTGAACGGGCCGGAAACCAGGTACACCCTACTGGAGAAAACAGTACTGGCCCTGATAGCTGCTATTAAACGTCTGGCACCATATTTCCAGACCCATCCGGTAACTGTGTATACTACTCAGCCACTCGCCACCATCTTGAGAAACCCAATGGCAAGTGGGCGCATTACAAAGTGGAGTCTCCTGATCAGGCAATATGAGGTGGATTTCAGGCCTCGACCTACTATCAAAGCTCAGGCACTGGTGGATTTCATTGCAGAATGTACCGCTCGGCCTTCGGAAATAGATTCAGAGAACAATGTGCTTGATAAATGGTGGGAGATGTATGTGGATGGTACATCTAGTGCCAAGGGTTGTGGAGCCGGAGCTGTGATCACATCGCCTGAAGGGTTCAAAGCATATTACTCCATTCATTTTGACTTCAAAGTAACCAACAATGAGGCCGAGTATGAGGCCCTTATTCCAGGTTTAAAATATGCGAAGACCCTGGGCGCCGATCGGTTAAAAGTCCGGTCGGATAGTCAATTGGTGGTGCTAAAGAGGCTAAAGAGGAAAGAATGAAGGCTTACAAAGAGCTACTCGAGGAGCAGATAAACAAATTTGAACAGGTGGTGCTCGACCAAATATCTAGAATAGAAAATACCGAAGTAGACATCTTATCCAAATTGGAAAATGCAGCGCTTGACGATCGGGCACAGGAGATTCCAGCTCATATCCAACGGTTTACCCATCGGGAAACCTTAGCAATCCCAGCAATCATGGTGCTCCAGATCGAGGCCATATCTTATGTCGTCCCCAGTTGGGTCATAGATATGACCAACTACCTAAAAGACGGAACCCTCCCACAGGATAAAAATCTCGCTTCTCAGATAAAGTGCATTCAGAGGAGGGCTTCCATGTTCGAGCTAGTGGACGGACAGTTGTACAAAAAGACGTTTGGGGGGCCATATTTGAAAGGCCTTCCACCAGATCTAGCGGCGGCGGTAATGGAAGAAATTCATGAAGGCATCTGCTCAAGTCACCAAGGGCCCAAGACACTGTCCAGAAAAATCATCCTGTAAGGGTATTATTGGCCAACCATCCAACAAGACTGCTTTGCGCATACTAAAAAGTGTAAAGTGTGCCAGCTATACGCGCCGTCCCCGTACGGCCAGCCACTTTCTACACTCCAATGACGGTGGCCCTCCCATTCGCTAGGTGGGGGATCGACCTGCTAGGTCCCCTACCTACTGCCCCTGGGAACAACAAGTACATCATTGTTGGGATAGATTATTTCACCAAATGGGTGGAGGCCGAGCCACTGGCTAGCATCACAGATGTCAGATGTCAAAAGTTTGTCTGGAAGAATATCATTTGCCGTTTCGGACTCCCCGAACAGATTATAACA